CCTCATAAATTTGGGATAAATTCAGTAAGGTGGAGCATTCCGGTGCAAAAATACTTTCCTATTATCTAATTCTAACCTTGATTAGGAGAGAGGACGCAGAGGTGCCGACCACCTGGTGGTCACTTCAACTGCGTTGATCTCTGGTAGAAAAATTGTTGTGAAAGCAAGTGAAAAAGTGATATAAAAATTTTCAGCGCTCGATTTTTTTTCTTTATAATGAGCTTTATTTATTGCTGCAAGGTGCAGACAAAAAACTTTTCAAGCCACGGTGCCAATTTAATGCCTCAGCCGCAGGAGCTACGGAGTGGGTGAACTAACTCCTCCGAGTGAAAAGTTTTCCCGATGCGAAAAAGCCATCCTGTGCGCAGCTAGCTGGCAACTAGTTTCCCCCAGAAGTTTAGAATGAAAAATGGTTATAGTTGTTTCAAGTCCCTCAGATGCTCTGCACCCAAACACCTCCCGTATTGGAATTTGCTAATTTGCCTTAATCCGCACTATTCGTCTTACAAACAGCCGCGATTGTTGCAGATGTCCCATGCGGAAGTTATGGCCATCGTTTTTCGAGTCGAAAAGAAGGAAAAAGAGACGGCTTTCTGAATCACAAATTGATGAAAGAGACATTCAAGAAGACATCGATAGAAAAGGTCTATTCTAGTTTTCGTTCTTCATCAAACTGATAGTCGGTCTGAAAACCTTTTTCTCTTCGTTTATCTTACCGTATCTTGGAGGTTCAGCCTCAGATTTATCCATTATCCTCAGAGATCCAACTCGCTCTGCATGAAATCGTCCACAATTTTATGTGGAGCGTTGAGAGGCTGTAACAGTGTTGGGGTCATGCTCAAGCGTGGTGGGGCGGGGTTCAGATTCAAGCGCAACACGCTTTGCTTCCGCAGCTGGTTATTCTGCAAGGAGAGATGGTGCAGTGGCAAGTGGCGCTACAAACTGTGCAAATGTTCCGGGCATCGAACCCCTGGGTCGCCCCTTCAATCTAATCAAGCCCCTTATTTCTCCGCAGTTGCTTAAAGGTTAGAAAGCCTGTCTGTAAGGCCAAAAACACTGATTACTACATCGGCTAAGTCCCGCAAGTAGTTGTAGAGGCCCTGTCTAATTGAAAGTACCACTACAATTTCGATTGGAAGTAGAAGGCTTGGCGCGCCAAAAAAAGCTGATCAGCGCACAGTTTATTTTTGTACTTCCCAGTGTTGGAGGGAAGAGAAATTTGAGTGCGGAAAAGAGGAGCGAGAGGTGTGGTGTAAAAAATGTGTGACTTTGTCGTCTCCCCTTCACTACTTCCCCCCCCCCCGTAACACATCCTTTCATTTCATTTTTTGCGATCCTATACGTGTGACTGTACCGTAACGCAATAGTGTTACGGCTGGAATTCATAACAATCTCATATGGAACGCACCTGTCACAAATAGACATGCGTTCGCACGTCAACGCAGCATGCAGTTATGAGACCAGTTTATGTTTTTCTTGTGGATTAACTTCCTTGTTTCCATAGAATCTTTGCCCTTCACCCCTGCGCTAAATCGGTTTATGTTCACAACGAGCAACTTATTCGATTTGAGTTGAATCCTTGTTGGCTGCTATTGGCTTTTCTATAGCGAATCTTCTTCCCACTCCAGGACATGTCCTGCCGTTGGTGAAGAATTAAAAGTACGACCCCTCCAGAGGATTTTTTCTTTTACTACCACCTGCTTCCTCTCCCACCCTGCCATCTTCCTAAATTCTCCCAACTTTCTACCACTTACTCAACTAACGCGCGTGAAAGGGTCGACCCCCCCCCCTTCAGCGACTAAGTACGACGCACCCTCAAACGCCGGGGTCCCCAGGTTCCACGCGTCAGCTGATTCTAGCTTCACAATCTCTCTCCTCTCTCTAATCGTGTGTGAGATATTTGTAGCATGTTATAGGACGTTGCCGTTCAAACTCTGCAGACTGGAGCTATGGAGGAGCTCAACCGTATCGGAACCCGGTTTCCAGTAATCGACTCAGAATTTTGTATTTTGTCACAAGAACTAGAATTTTCCAGGTTTGTTGAAGTTGTTAAGTTAGCAGGAGGTTGCCTTTGCTGAAATATCAAGAATTCACTTTGCATGTCTCTTGCTTGGAGTCTTTCTTTTGCTTGGATTGCATGTGTTGCGATTTACCCTTGATCGATTTCCGACTCCCGAACATATGGGGGCGATTTCTGGATACTGTCTTGCTCCACAAGGGTTGCATAACAATTTCGGCCGTTGTTTTCTGAATAGACAAGAGCTCCATCAATATTTTTGTGGGTTATGGAACCATTTCGAGCTGGATCAGAGCACCTAGAGCAATCAACTGAAGCATGTTTTTGTGTAAGAAAGACCAGTTCAGTAAGACAAACTGCACATTCACATCGGTAAGCGCTTTTGCCATATGCGAGAAAAATGGGTTGGCAGCTGTACGGACATCGAAAGCGCGCTGCAGTTGGGCTGGAGGGTAGTGATATCTGGCTGTCGTTTGAGACTCCGCCCGCGCTCGCTTCATGGTGTAGCCCTTGTGTCGGTACCAGAATCCTGCAGCGAAAACTTATTCCACGTTAAAGAGCGATTAGGAGTGTGAGTGCAAAGAAGCGACGCGTTTAGCCATCGTTGGCTGTGGCTGACCGTGCGGCAGCTCAGACGGAGTCCCGGATGGCACCCGAGGATATCACTACGCTTCAGCCCCGTTCCCATGCACATTTGAGTGGGGAAAATGTCACGCTATTGCAGCTGCAACTAACCTCACGGGAAGGAAGAGGATCTACGATGGTGAGTGTACAGTATGTCTTTAAGATGACGAATAAAGTATCTGATCGCCCGATCAGCTGCATGCACCGTTGCAACGCTCATGAAGTCATGTTCAGGGCACACCATTGGTAGGGGATTTTGGTCCAGTCGAGTCCATACGACCCTCCCCCGCCATTTTTCGAAGAGGGGCATGAACAGGCAAAATTCACACGAAAAAGTCAACACCCCTTTCCCAGAGGCCAGAAACTAGAAAGAGTAAATACGACCCCCTCCCATCCCATCAACAAGCAAGTACGATTCCTCCTCTCCCTCCTCCCCCCGCACCTCCGCCCCCTTTTCCAATGTCCGTGGGGCGAGAAAAATCGCAACTGCCCGGTAAGCAGAAGATGCGGGTTCGAGTCCCGCCCGTGGTCCGACTTTTGCCCACAACTCAGCATTCTTGTGATAACTTTCGTATCGCGCACTGCGGCGTTAAACAGCAGTTATCAACAATAACAGCTTAAAACTTGTAAAAAGCCTTCAGCCTTGCGGTTCACTGCCGATATCGGCTAACCGGCTCATCACGTTGAACGTGTGAGTGCTCGAAGGCAATGGCACAAATAGCCATTGAGCTGAGAGGTCAAAAGTGGCCCCGGTAGCGTAAGTGGTAACGCAACTGCCCGGTAAGCAGAAGATGCGGGTTCGAGTCCCGCCCGTGGTCCGACTTTTGCCCACAACTCAGCATTCTTGTGATAACTTTCGTATCGCGCACTGCGGCGTTAAACAGCAGTTATCAAACAATAACAGCTTAAAACTTGTAAAAAGCCTTCAGCCTTGCGGTTCACTGCCGATATCGGCTAACCGGCTCATCACGTTGAACGTGTGAGTGCTCGAAGGCAATGGCACAAATAGCCATTGAGCTGAGAGGTCAAAAGTGGCCCCGGTAGCGTAAGTGGTAACGCAACTGCCCGGTAAGCAGAAGATGCGGGTTCGAGTCCCGCCCGTGGTCCGACTTTTGCCCACAACTCAGCATTCTTGTGATAACCGTAAATTTTTCTCCACTTCCAACCAAATACGACCAATCCCTCTCCCGGCGACGCATAATAGACCCCCCCCCTCCCCTTGTTGGGGTTCCCCAACAACGATGTGCCCTGGTCATGTCTCACGATAATACGGATGACTTACTGTCCTGTCAAATGAAGCACCTCATGCCAACAGACCTTTTAAATCTCGTCCTTGCACGTTTGTTGTTTAGTTGCTTAGTGTTTTTCCAATTTTCATTTTAGCGTTCTCTCATGGTCATATTCGCTATTTGGACGATTTGGTTGGCTTTTGTTGTGCATGAACATGGCAACTTTCCTTTCAACTCCTCGAGTTCGTTGCGTTTTCTGTGAGGATTTCAGTCTTTTTTTATTAATTGGCCCCAATTTCAGGTTTGCAAGAAGGTCGAATACCTTTCATTGGTTCTCAGTCTCCACATGAGGTAACTCCTCCTCAATGGCGGTTGTGGGCCGAACGTACATTCAAATGGTGATTCTGTTGTTGAATTCAGATGGAGATGGTCCAATTGAAATTTGTCTTTGTAGGTGGCCAGCGTTGTTCGCCGAGTTCAACATGAGTTTGTCGGGAAGTTACATTACCTTCCTACCGCCAATCATTCTGAAAACATCGGTGATTGTTATTCTCTACGAGACTACAGAACAGCGTTAGGGGCTCTGGCTGTGCGAGAAGGGCATTTGAGAAACTTCTCGAGAAGACAGTTGCTGTGATGCGGGGCTCCATTTTCATGAAGAAAAGGGTCACCTTCTCCCCCCCCCCCCCCCTTGAAGCCTCCTCACCTTAAAAACAACAGTCTTTATCTTCTCCACGGTAATCTCACTTTTGGGAGCTGTTCGGCTTGGGAGGACCATGCTCTTCCAGCAGTTTCTTTTGCTATTCCTGCTAAATTACATGTCTCTTAAGGAAGGACGATGCTCGCTTTGCTGCTTACTCAGCTTTACAAGAAAGTACAGTTCTCCGCAAGAGGCATCTGCAATGAACGATCTAGCTCCAACCAGCAAAATGCCCCCCCCCCCCCTCCCCCACCAAGCCGAACTGCGCCCACTTTTGCACAAAGAGTGTTCCAAATGCCTTCCCCAACTTAGCAGACTGCATTCAAAGTTGCGCGCCTAATCTCACAATTTTTCGTTCCAGGTGAATGCTTCTGACCCATTTCTTTATCCCAAATCGTCGAAAAGAGATGCTCATTCTAAGCAGACACCACATCAGCTGGAATCCGACAGTCGCAGTGCACTCAAGTAAATTATTTAGAACGTTTTTGAAATGGCTCACGATCTTGTCTTTTTAAAGCTGTTTTTTTTCAGATCTCGCATTTCGTGGCTGGAAGCGCAGCTGCGCTTTTACTTGGCAGTCGTTTGGCTAATGTTGCTGGTGTGTGTGATCGCTTTCATTTTGTACGTATGTTTTTGGGGACGATGGCGAACCGATCGTATCCGAAACAAGGTATTTCGTACTGGTTATCGGATTCAGTCATTCTTCAGTTGATGTCATCGCAATCACTCGGGGCGTTTCCAAGAGGGATAGAGCGAGTCCACCTGCGACATTTC